AAAATAAAATAAAATAAAATAAAATAAAATAAAACAAAATAAAATAAAATAAAATAATTCCTTTATTTGCACAATTTTTAATGTTTCCAGAGCCTTCGCTTTCTCTGGAAGAATCTAAAATTAGTTTTAGGTTGCTTATAAGAGTTTTAGCAATATTTCTGTAAGGCCCATCAATTTGCTTAATGTATTACTTAAAGGTTTAGCGCCTGAAGCTAAAAGCCCGTTATTGTCCGCACTCTGATTAGAAAGACTATGGGCCATTTCAACAATATTAGAGTGGACTCTCTGCCCATGTACACATTCGCATTCGCAAAACGCAGGCTGCTTCCCCGTTCGATTCAGACGAGCCCCAAAATACAGCATATTCTCAACCCGTTGGGAGTGCCAAGCAACGGCAACAAAGAAAAAAAACAGTTTATCTAGTGGTTCGATCTTGACGTCTTTGTTGGTAACAAAAGCGGGATACTTTTGCAAAGCGGTTAAAGAAAATAATATTCATAATGGCCGAAATCGTGGATTCTTCTCTTCAATTGCATAATAACACTCCATTTCTATGCTAAGTATTTATTTATAGTAGCACAGTTATTAAAAGAAAAAAATCAGTTCTTTACTTTGAATTCTGCTTATTTCGATATTTTTGTTTCTTTCCTATTATATCACGGAAACGCGCAGTAATTAATTCATGTCCTTCAACTTTGCTTCTTTTCCTCTTCTTTATTGGAAAGCGGAGTAGTATGAGTAAAAGAAACCCTTATTGAAAAATTTAAAAGCAGCAAAATAATTCAGTGAAATTGCAAATGGTTACCATTCTCTACCGAAACTGAACAGAAGCAATTAAAAATAGAGATGAAATATGTAGGCGAACGTCCCTTTTCTTCATTATGTTTGTATCTGATGAGTTTGCAGCAGGCGCTTAGCAACATGTTGCTAAGAAACTAAAAAAAAAACGTGGGTGTCATTGTGCTATAACTGGTAAGGATTTCCAATTGTAAGAAAGCGAAGTGTTCATTCATTAAACAACGAAGAATTTCTTTCATAATCGAACAAGTTGATATGGACATTTTTATTCTATGTGGGAAGCAGAACGAAGAGGGCAAAGTACTTTGTAGCGCGCAGCTGTGATTTACGCTACAAATAGCCCACTTTGCCGTTTAGCTTCATCAATAAAATCTGTAAAATTTAACGCAACAGCAGTCTATGAATGAAAGCAAGAGACGAAAAATACAAGAGCTGATTGAAAGGACAGAGTGAATAACAAAAGAATAGAGAGCGCGAGGCGGTAGGTAGGTCCATGATTCAGTAGCAGGTATATGCAAAAAAAAACACGATGATGCTGGTGAACGAAGAAAGCAGCTGGCAGGTTTGCCTCATAAATGAAAAATGTTGCTGGACGACCCACTACTATTAACATAATAAATTATTTTAGGGTCAAAAGCAGCAGAGCATGGAATATCAGAAGCTGTTGAAAAAAAAAATAAAACTTTTAGAAAGCGAAAGCTTTAGAATTTTACTGCTATTTGACGGCTCAACCTATCCCACATCCCTCCCCCCTCCATTAGTGTAAATATTATTTGTCACATAAACTGTCATAACCGCAAGAGTAGAGGTTGACATTTTGTATAAAAAAACTTTTAAGTGCAAAGTTGCCAAAACTTTTCTTGGCGCGCTTAGCGCACCCCAGCGACAACAAAAAGCGCTTTTTATAATCATTACCAGCGTCATTGTAGCGCAGGTCGTTAATTTAACTTTCTTTGCGAATAGCAAGCCAAAATGTTAATCTTCAAAAAGTTTAGCACAAACTTATGCGCTTGAAAAATTATGTTGATGAGATGCCTGGCGATGAGGTGTTGTGAGGGTGGTGCAAGGAGTGAAAGAATAAAATAGTAAATTGGTGAATAAGCTTTTGAATTTGTCTAGAGTCTAGACACACAGAGTGCTTCCAGCTGTTTAAGGGGAAACGACTATGGGAGAGTGTTTCACTAAATTTTGCAATATTTGTGTGAATTGTTAGATTTCTATCTGAAAAGTTGAGAGTAACCAACGTAAAAATCTGCTAAAATCACTAAAAACCAACTAAGTTATTAGGGTTGATAGTCTGACTACCTAATCGATGCTATAGCCGATTACTTCAACGTTATCGATAACTTATTGTTTACCATAAGAAAAATATCGATAAAATACAAATTTCCTTCGCATTGGATTTAGTTCAGGAATCGATTAAGACCGATAGGTATGTCAAAGGTGATAGGCCGCTTAATCTTTTTCGATAATTATTTCAAAAAGTTTATCGATAATAATTAACAATATAAAGCTTTACAAAAATGCTCAAATATGCCTTGAAGGCGTCAGCGATAGCGATAACAAAAAAATTTCAACAGCGATAGCGATGTCATGAACCGATAACGACATCAATAACCGATAAAGATATAAATAGTCGATAACGATGTCGATTACCGATAACTAAAATTAAAGTGAAAGCCTCGCTTTGTGATGTGGTGTCATAATCCGAAATTGGGAGCCCATAGACTGAATTTGGAGTTCAATAGCACTATTTGTTAAGATAGTCTGACTACCTAATCGATGCTATAGCCGATTACTCCAACATTATCGATAACTTATTATTCACCATAAGAAAAATATCGAAAAATACAATTTTCCTTCGCGCTGGATTTAGTTCAGGAATCGATTAAGGTCGATAGCTATGTCCAAGGTGATAGGCCGTTTAATTTTTTCATAATTAAAAAAAAAAATTTTTATAATAATTAGCAATATAAAGCTTTACAAAAATGCTGAAATATGCATAGAAGGCGTCATCGATAGCAATAACGATAACTATAAAAACAATAGCAGTTACTGCAGCGAAATAAAAAAATGTCCACAACGATTGCGATATCATTAACCGATATCGATATCAATAACCAATAAAGATACAATAGAATAGTCGATAACGATGTCGACTACCGATATCGATAACGCTAAAAAATTCAAATGAGGGCCTCGCATTGTGTTATGGTTGTGCGTTTCTTTTTTGGACTTAAACTTCTGATAAATAATTTTTGTCAACAAAAGTGTTTCGTACGTAATAATTTCCAAACAAATCCTTTCATGTGCAAAATTGTTATTTGTAATTTTTGTTTATCTTTATTATTTGCTATAGCATCAACGTCGCGCAGTTTAATCCGCTTAAGCTGCGAAATCAAAAAGTGTCCCAAAAAAAATCGATGAAAAAAAGTTGCTTGTTTACATAAAAGATTGCGCGTGTGTGTGCGCGTACAGATTTCTTTTAATTACATTTAATTCAATTTTGTAATCTGCCTGTATAGGCAATTTTTTGCTAGCGCCTCACACTCTTTGCTTTCAAACATTTTTAATTTGTGTAATCACAACTTTTTGCGCTTAATTTCTTCATTCCTTCAATACGAGTACACATCGAGTTGTTTGTATTTTCTCTTTTTTTCCTTGCTATCTGTTGCAATATTTCACCCTTTTTCCACTACTGAAATATTTTTTGTAATTGCTTTTTTTTTCGTTTAAACAGTTATCTACATTTTTCGTAGAACTTTTTTACAATTCCTTTTCCACTTTTTCTCATTCCAGACCCGATTACCGTCCGGAGCGTGGCATTTACGATTTGCAAATTAAAAACGCCTCATACAATCGCGACAATGGCCGCTTCGAATGTCGCATCAAGGCGAAAGGTACGGGCGCCGATGTCCATCAAGAGTTTTACAACTTAACCGTCCTCACACCACCACATCCGCCCGTCATCTCGCCCGGCAACATAGCCGTCGCCACCGAGGATGTGAAAATGGAGCTGACGTGCAGCAGTATTGGCGGTTCGCCTGATCCAACGATAACGTAAGTACATAAATACATACATACATAGAGCTTGATTTTTTTTTTTGTTTTTTTTTTGTAAGTTTGTAAAGAGCTAATAGCAGAATGTCTCTGCCCACGCTGCCCAGCAACGAACGCAGCAATTGGCTGAGCGTCGTGGTGTGATATCCGCATACGAAGTAGCACAAAAATGGACACAGCGACGCGTTGTGGGCGGCAATAATACCGTATTAATTTAAAATTAAATTTATTTAAATTGAATACCTTATCCCGGAACGCCGGCGCTGCTGCCACCTCTGTCAGTGGTTACGAAATTTTTTAAAAGGATTTTCACTGCCATTAAATGCAGGCTACTAACCGACTGACGGCTGACAGGTTGCCAGGCTGGCTGCCTAGTTGATTCACTCATTCATGTGTAGCTATTCATGTATGTGAGTGTGTGTGTTGATTCCCTTTACTTTTTTTAAGTAGCACCAAATGCAAATGTCCTTAATCCGCGTTGAAGAGGTGCAATTGAGCGCTCAAGTGTAGGACCAACGGTGAGCGCAACGCTCGAAGTGGGTAATCATTACAAGCAGGCTAACGAGCTAAATGTGCACACATACATACATACATACACATATAAACGTATTTACGTTCATTGCTCTTGCGCACAACTCACTTAATTTCTTAAGTTTAAATAATTTAACGCCACTTTACCTGCTCACAGGTTTCGTTGCCACGTTAAAGTGGTTAAGTGAAAATGTATTGGAGTCTTGGAAGAATTTAAAATGGCTTGAATTGCATACATACATAAATACGTACTTAGCGAGCATTAAGCGAAAATTTAAGGCTAAAAGAAATGTATTTAAAACTTACGATCGATTTTTTTTTTTTACAGTATGCACAATGGGAGATTAAAAGATTGATAGCAAATAAATGAGCACTATTTTGCTTGAAATAATGCAACCGTGATAATAGAAAATTCCAACAACTAGGCGAATTACGCAAAGGTAGTGGAAAATATTTAAGGTACTATAGAAAAGGTTTTAGGTTAGTTCTCCTGGTAAGCTGATTAGGCCAGGTGAGTTTGACAGGTTCGTGAGTGGCTCACTCGATAATTAATTTTTTGTTCACTGGTTTATTGCCCAATAGATTTTCTTAGGACAGCCACTGCAGCTAATCCATACTATGTGACTGGAAATGCGCTTTATTCTCAAAATGAATGAAGTTCTGCTGATGTTCTCCAAGAAACTTCTTCGGGAGTTTCGATAAAATCTGGGCTGAGCTGTTAAAAATTTAATATGGAAAAATCTACCCCGAATAACTTCGAAAATCGGCGCTTAAGTGCAGTCCATAAATTCCTATTGTAACTCCTATGCGATTAAACCTTTGACAGCTTTCTACGGTATATCGTACAGATTTTGTTTTCAACTTTTTACGATTTTTTATTTATATATATATATATTTTTTTTTGAACGTTGTCACATGCCGAAAAGTGCATCCCACAAAATGTATTTTGATAACTTTTGATTTTGAAAATTTAGGAAAAGTCAGTATAAACAATTTATACGATTGAAAATGAATAGATTTTTCCCATTTTTGGTTTTTTTAGTTAATTTTGGGGACTTGTGCAGGACCATGTCGGGACTGGGTAAGACACACAAATTTTTCTGGACCATTTCGAGACTAATTCAAGCGCTATTTAGTAACATTTTCATGGCTAGTTTGGGTTCATTTTGGGCCTAGTGAGAGACCATTTCGGGATCAATTCAAACTTTGTTCGAGATCATGTCAGGACAAGTTCACCACTTTTTCATAACCACTTCAAGACAATTTTGGGACTAGTTCGGGATCATTTCGGCGGGTCGCGAAAATCCTTTAAGAAAATTCCCAACTATTGCTGAAGTGTTTATGAAAAATTCGTCTACTGCGCCCCACGAAATGAATAAAATTAAATGAAATTAACACTTAGTGTCTAACCTAACCTATTTATATATGTAAATAAATCCCTTAAAGCTTTGCCAAGCCGCAAACAGATTTATGCAGATCCAGTTTCATGAATACCTGGTACTCGTGCATTTTTTTCTTTTTTTCCTCTCAATTTTCGCTTTCACAAGCACACAAATAACTTGTTCGCTTAAGCCTTAATTGCGAAATTTATTAATACTCTAAGACAAAAATCCGAACCCTGATTTGCTATCAGCTATCAGCGCAACTATTTTTTAATTAGATGCAAATGATTGGCCCAGTTTCGTTTGTTTGCCAACATTTTTCTATTTTATTGCTGTTTGCATAGAGTTTCATCTAATCCCCTTGTCATTCGTGCCTTTTTTCTGTTCTTTAATGTTTCTGTTGTGTTTGTTTTTTTTTTTTCTTTATTTCCATCCGCATCAGTGCTTTTAATTTTATCTCGTGTTCGTGTTAGTCGCGCTCGCAAATTTACTATTATTTCCAACAGAGAGTGCAAGAAATAAATTCGTATAAAACTTCTTAATGCCCCACACTGCATTAACTGCCAAAAAGCATGTTCATATGTACTTATGTGTATATGTATATTGTATGTATGTATGTGTATGTATGTATGTGTATGTGCACTAGCATGTGCCATCGACTACAGTCTTGTCTTGCAATCCTCAAATATTTACGACACAGTTCATTGTGGTTGGCTGCCAAAAAACCAGCGCCAGCAACAAAACAAAGTCAAAAAGAAAGTAAAAGCGAAAAATAATATCAACAAAAAAGCATTACACACGGAATCGGGAAGAAGTGCGCGCAAACAAAAAAAAAAAGCAAATGCTGGCGAATAAAAGCGCAAGCAGCTAACGAGTAGGAAATAATCACGGACCGAAGGCCCAGAAAAAAAAAGCCAAACTCAAAGTGAACACAAATTAACAGCCAACGTTTTTCGTGCCACGCTGACTTAAATACATGCACTGATACATCCATACGTACATACTATATGTATATACAATATTATTGTACTTGATTTAATTTTTCCATGTACTGCTATCTACTTGTAGTTTTCTCTTCTTCTCATTATTTTTTTCTCTTTCTTTTTTCATGTCCTTGCGCCACCGACCGACCGCATCTGCGCTGCATTTGCTTCAACGCTTTTTGTTGCTCCGGTGCAGTTGGTATCGCGAGGGTACCAATACTCCGCTACAGGCTGCCGTCCGCACGGGCGGCTCAAAGGATCAGCCCACAAATGCAACATTGACGCTGCAACCGCGTCGCGAGGACGATGGCGCCAAATACAAGTGTGTCGTACGGAATCGTGCAATGAACGACGGACAACGGTTAGAGGCAACCGCAACTTTAAATGTTAACTGTGAGTGAAAAACGGAACATTGATTTTACTTGCACTTTTTTTTTTTGTAGCTATATACTGTATGTATATTTATCCGTGTTTATCCTTTTCATTTTGGTTGATAAACGAAATGAATTTTTGGCTTCAAAATAAAAAAAACGAAAGCGAGCGTGCAGGAATTGACATTCGGCAATCACGTTGCCTTGATTTCTTATTTAGGGGTGTATGCCTTGATTACTTACATATGTACATATATAGATACCCACTTACTTCTATGATTTTTTTTCACCATTCGTTACTTTCTTACGTAACTCCCCGTCAGTCTAACTATCTATATTTATGCACAAAACTAGCGGCCTTTTTTTAAATTATACCCCGCAGTTGCCCTGTTTGACTAATAGGTGTTGTAAGTGCTCGCGTAAGTGCGTAATTTATTGCACGCACACGCTTTATCCAACTGAACATGATTATAACTAAAGTATTTTCGAGAGCTACACTCCTAAATGAGAACGTAAATAATTTTTTATTTTTTCACTGACTACAAACGCGCTTCTGGCACTTGCATTGTCGCCCCACATTTATTTCATTTGGGCACCCTTTTTTCGGTCATGTCATCAGAAATCGCTATTCGTGCTCGTTTTCATGCATTCTACTTGCCTCCCAAATTAAAGTTAAATGTTCAATTATTACGATTGACGGTATAGTCCATAATTACCTCTCAAGGTCGCGATGACTTGTTTTACTTCTCTTATACCAATGGACTCCACCTTACCTTTTCTTACAGGCAGTTGTGCGCCATGTAGGAAATATTAAGCTAGTCGCCATCCACTTTGCAAGCACTAATTCGAAAGGTAACTTGGGTTAAAACGTGGGATAAATTTATTTAGAAGAATTTCTTCTTGATTCCGTACGACAGGCGATAGAAATTAATATACAGAATAGTGTCAGCATGACAACTTCCGTAACCCAATATGTACATAGGTCGAGCTCAATGTAGCCACTCGGAATTTTTATTCTACCAAATCCCTACCACATGAGTTCAGAACCTAGCAAGCGTGAAGCTGTGCATTTTAAGCTACTACTGCTTTTATTTACACCCTTATCTTTAAATCCAATGCGACTTAATGAAAATTCATGAAAAATTTTGCCGGCCGCCTGAATATATCGCGCTCCTTACTCGGTAGACTGAAAGATCTCGTAGAGAAAAAATCGGTTTAGACTTTGAGCCATCTTTAATGTAACTTCTCATTCTACGCAACGAGTTTTGACAAGCGTTCCAAAATATATATAGTATTCCAATTCTTTCTAAAGGACAAAAAATAAGTATAATCGTAATCCGAAGCTAACTTCTAAGTAAAAAGACGCCAAACATTTCACAGCATAGTTGTCCTAAGACTAGTTTCAGAAATGTGCAGATAACGAGAAAGCAAGCTTTCTCGCTTACTCTTTTTACCATTTTAATTGCATGAAATTACGAAAATGTGTTCTCAGTTCTTGGTTTGAATAAAAGTTAACAAAACTTCTTTCAAACTACCAACAAACCAAGTGAAAAATGTGCTACCAATTTTGGTAGGAAAAGCTCAAGGAGGGCATCACTGGTAGAGCGGTAAGCTGCCAGTGATAGGTAGGTGCCCGGTTTGGTGCCAGATCAGCGCACTTTTTTTTTCTTTTATCTTAATTTAGTAGATAACCTCATAAAAATTGAAGAATTTGTTTTCGATGCAGTTTATATTTAAGATTTTGCTTGCGGTACAAGAATATTATCTTTTAAAGAAACTGCTTCATTAGTTTATGATGGTTTGTCTTTGTGTAAGAAGATGAGGTATTTTTGTCCCATCAGCAACTCTTATAGCCAATACCATCGAATACTTAGCAGAGACCAACTAAGCATTTAGAAATTAATAACTTAAGAGCTCGAGCCTAGCCAGAAGATAGAATTCCAAGCTAATATTAAGGGAAGGTTATTCTTTTCTGCGGTTTGTGCCGTTTCTAATGTAAATTATTATGGAAAGAAAACGATAATTTACATACATATGCCATTTCTGAGATCACCATAACTTCTCATCAGATTTCTGCATCCAGTTTACTAAGGTTTAAAGAAGCGACTGCGACTTACAAAGCTTAAAAATACGGATATTCTGCTTTAGTAATCTCGTATTTTCTCTAAATTGACAGCATGAGTCCGTTCATTTGAAAATGTGTAGCTTTCATTTTGGCTATTTTAGGAGACTTACAGCATAAGCCGGTTGAGAATTATGGTTAGAGAGTGAAATAACTGTAAAACATAAGTTATATAGCGCATTATTTTGCATAATTCTTGGCGCACTTTTACAACTAATCTAAGAGAATAGATGACCTTTTTTACCTTGTTATCTGCTAGTTGTATTCAAAGGATCTGAAATTGCTATGTGTGTTTATCTCGATAACATTTTTTGGTTCATTACAATAAAGCTGTATTCAACATTAAATTTTTCCATTTATGACCAATTTGTCACCTTCATAGTCTTTGTTCATCAATTTTGCTGGGAATTGCTGTCAATATGTTCCCGAAGATGTGGAATATGTGAGACCACATGCTAACGTTAATGTTACGAAAAAATATGTCCATACTTAAAGGTTAATACAGTTGATACCTATTTTTCCTGCTGGGTTACCCCACACTTTTTGAAGCAACGAAAGTTGTCACCTGCTGACGTATTAAATATGCCATTTTATCACCAACGAATCACTGTTATTATTTTATTTGGTTATTTATAGCGCAAGCAAAATGATTGTGGGTGGGTGTTAACAATTTTTCACCTCGATGCGAATGACAACTGAACGTTGTGCTCGGCGCAATACGCGCAATTGGCATTCAAATCATTCATTTAGTCTGAATTAAAAGTGTATGAGAGTGGGTTGGTTACTAAGGGAAAATTCTGTATTCTATTATTAAATGTGAGTAATGTTTGCTGGTTTGTTGATGACGCGTTTATGAAGAGTTTGAGGATCGCGTGTTAGATAATTTTTAATGAATATTTCTTTTATGAATGAATCAATTTCGATGATTATATTTTTTCTATACGAAACAATAAAAACTAGTAAAATAGAAAATGAAAATAAAGCAAAAAATAACAATATTAAAATAATAAATGAAATTAAAAAAGAATCTTTTGAAAACAATAAAATCTAAAAAAATAATCAAAGAAAATAATATTTAAAAATTAAATAAAATAAAAAAAAAAATATTTTTATTTTTAAACAAATTCTAAAAACTAAAAGGAATTTAAAGTAAAAAATATTAAAATAAAGTTAACAAGAAAATATCATAAAAATTAATTGGAATAAAAAAATATATTTTTCTTTTTAAAGCGATAAAATCTAAAAATTACAAGAAAATATAATTGAAATAAAAACTTAAAAAAACAAGTTTTTAAAAATTAAATGAATTAAAAAAAATTATTCCTTTTTAGAGCTTCAGGCCGGTTATTAAATAAAACTTAAATTGGAATAACTGTAGGTATTTACTACATTTATTGTTGCCGAAAAATAATAGAATCTTAAAATTTAAAGAAAATTAAACTTAGAAACGAAAAACTAATTCATTTAAAAGCGAAAAATTTTAAATAACTTTCTTAAAACTAAACGATTTAAAAAATATTTTGTCGTTAAAAAAAAAAGACTCGAACGCGAATATATCGAATGGCATGCCCGTGCATTGTTTATAGGGCCATTGCGACTGTCAGCTTTTTTTCAAACTATCTTGTCATCTGTTTTCATTTTTCTTATAAAAGGCTCTATGCTATCCTAGTCAGAATTGCCTTGTAAGACTGGCGAATCGAAAAAAAATATTCGCCAGTCAAAAAATAAAGCTCGCGAACGTATTTACATGAAATTTAATTTCCAAATTTTTCCCGTTCTGTATTCCTAACTAACCGCTGAGTTGATTACCACACAGCTCCAACTCATAATTAAATTTGAGCTACGAATATGATGCCAAACTGTGACCCTTAACACTAATAACCGCATGCAATACCAAAAATCATATACATGCATACATCTCACACATGCAGCATACATACATATGTACATATGTGCCAATGTGACCAAAACATGCCATTCAAAAATTGCATTCAAAACTTTCACTGCATTCGCGAAATTGGAAATTTGTGTGCATGCAAGTGAACGGGAGGAAGAATCAACCGTCCGGTAATATTTAAATTTTGTACGCTAAAAGCGCGATTAATTCTGTGAAAATATATGAAAATTATATGCCTGTTATTTAATTGCTTTTGCATGTGGTGCCCAACAGCGGTCAGCTACTGTAGAATAAAAACAAATGGGTCAACTAAATATTAAACCAGCCATTAAATGCGAAAAATGTTGAAACAAATATGTGTAAAATTACTATATTCCACCCGTTCAACGCCGCTGTTATTGTTGTTGTGTTTAGTTGGCGCTATGCACGCTTTGCCTCGCAACCACGCATCTAATGCGCAGAGCTTTAATGCATCGATGAATTAGCTTTTAAATGCAAATGCAAATTTCCATATGTATGTATATACATATAATTGCAAATATCCGTATCTAAAAAAAAAGGTATTCATTAGGCCGGGTCGTTCTTCATATGGAAAAAAAGTTTATATAGAATAGGTCATAGAAAATTTCAATTGCTCACGTTTTAGAAACAGTAAAATTTTACTTTTCTCCATCACTTCGTATAGCTTTCAATATAGTAAAATGATTCCAGTGTTACCAGTTAGTAATAGTTGATACACTCCACTTGCAACAGATTTTTAAAGCTAAAAATTCAGTTTTGATGTATTTAAAAACAAAGTCCCGTAATAAATATCAGTTAAGATGAAGTATTCTCTACATTTAGTAGCAGGTTTTCGATAAATTTTCTGTCGAAAATAGTTGTAATCGAATCATAAATATGGATGTATTTATTTTGGTAAGTGTATTTCATATATATAGCTCCAAAAATTTTGACTAATACCATAGACAGATGGCAGTGTTAATACGAATTAACGGCATAGTAG